TTTAATACTTCACCATGAATATCATGTATCATGACTGATACATATTTTTTTTTCTTCTGTGTACACATTGAAGTGATGAGCGGTGGTGGAAAGGGCACTAAAAAGTGATGCATTACCTCGTTTAAAAACTTGTTTCCAGAAAAAGAAAAAGAACACTAAGCAAACAAAACAAATCCTTAAAAAAAAATCCTAACTTCTGAGATTTTTTCCTACGGATCCGTATTTCTGCAAAATTCAATCAATTATATAAAGGGTGATACGGTCAAAATTTGGTCAATATCAACTTGACGTATTTCTTTCAATTTTGCATTTAAAAAACCTGAACACCAATCATTTTGAAGATGTGTGTGTGTAGAATGTTGCTCCTATTTTGATTTTGGAATTCACTCTTCAGTTGTCAAAATGCCGTCCAAGCAATAGGAGCAGCGTATCAAAATTTTGCTCGCGCATCGCGAAAATCCGAGCTACTCACACGCAAAGTTGGCAAAATCGCTAAAAGTTGCCAAATCAACCGTTACAAATGTAATTAAAGTGTTTGGGGAACGTTTGTCGACAGCCAGGAAGTCTGGATCGGGGGGAAATCGAAAACCGGAAGCCGCTGAGACGACAAAGAGAGTTGCCGGTAGTTTCAAGCGAAACCCTAACCTCTCTCTCCGAGATGCCGCAAATAAGCTGGGTGTATCGTCTACAACCGTGCATCGAGCCAAAAAACGAGCCGGACTATCGACTTACAAGAAGGTAGTGACTCCAAATCGCGATGATAAACAAAATACGACGGCCAAAGCGTGATCCCGGAGGCTGTACACGACGATGCTGACGAAGTTTGACTGCGTGGTAATGGACGACGAAACCTACGTCAAAGCCGACTACAAGCAGCTTCCGGGACAGGAGTTTTATACGGCAAAAGGAAGGGGAAAGGTAGCAGATGTTTTCAAGCACATGAAACTGTCAAAGTTCGCAAAGAAATATCTGGTTTGGCAAGCCATCTGTACCTGTGACTTGAAAAGCAGCATTTTCATAGCTTCCGGGACTGTCAACCAAGAAATTTACGTGAAAGAGTGTTTGAATAAACGTCTGCTGCCTTTCCTGAAGAAACACGGTTGTTCCGTACTGTTTTGGCCGGATTTGGCATCTTGCCATTACGGTAAAAAGGCCATGGAGTGGTACGTCGCCAACAACGTGCAGGTGGTTCCCAAGGACAAGAACCCTCCCAACACGCCAGAGCTCCGCCCAATTGAGAAATACTGGGCTATTGTCAAGCGGAACCTAAAGAAGACCAAAAAAACTGCTAAGGGCGAGCAGCAGTTCAAGGCAAACTGGCTTTCTGCGGCGAAGAAGGTGGACAAGGTGGCTGTACAAAATCTGATGGCAGGGGTCAAGCGTAAGGCCCGGCAATTCGGATTTGGAAAAGCGGAAGCCTAACTGAATATTTTTCCTGAATTTTATACTTATTGAACTTGAAAAAGAAATTTAATTTGATTTTTTAAATAAACGATTTCACCGATTTACACGCGTTTTCCCTTGACCAAATTTTGACCGTATCACCCTTTAGATCTTCGGTAAAATTTCATAGGATCGACATCACTGACATCCATCTGTTTTGTTTTTATTCAACACAGCTGAGGCGTTGACAGAACGAGGGAAAAGCAACTAGTGAAAAAAATTGTATGCACGCGGGATGCTCCGGTTGTAAAACATTGCTTGGGAATGTGGATGATAGATGGTGCTAGTGCGCATGTAGAATACGCTTGACGATATTTTTTGAAGAATTTTCTTCAAAGAGTTATGTCTGTTTGTCTGTGATATTAGCATATAATAGTCCATTTTATGAAATGACAGGAGCTGGTTTGCCTGCCAGAATTTGATGATATTGATATTGCTTCTCACAGCCGTTAGGTAACCGCCTCCTGTCAAAGTTCATTCATGAGTTGAACCAGAAACGTTTCATAAAATGCTCTATTGCAATTTTAAGTTTGCTTTTGTTAATTTAAGGTAAACATTGAGTTAAACTTGACGAATCATACATATAACATAGTAGTAGTTACAGTGTCTCATGATCTAACAACCACTGCCTGCAACTAGTGTTGGAGGGACTGGCAGGTCTGATTACGGATCAAAACTAACATAACTCTAACACTAAAATGATCTCGAAACTAACGCTCATTCATTGCACTTTACGTTATAAAGTAGTTCTATTTTCATACCAATCTATCTATGCTTCTCTATTATTTTTATACTTTTCTAATAATCTGCCTACGTTTCTTTTTCTTTGTTTTCTACTTTATCTTCATTCCCTTTTTATTTTTCTGCTCTTCTTTCCTTCTTCTCTTCTTTTGTTTCAATATAACTAATACTAATACCTCCTTGTTTCTCTCTAATTTATCTGCTATATCCCACCATCACGATAAGAGATAAGCTACTCTACATGGTATACGCCCATATGGGCTATTTTAATACCGTAACTTCAATAATATCAACGAGAGGATAAATGATGAGAATTCTTCGAACAATACAGGAATGGCAACATCTCTAATAGATAAATACCGTAAAACGAGGTATCTTTGATAGTGCGGGTAACTTTGATAGTATAATATAATGACTAAATTAACCTTCTGCACTATTTCCTAATTGAAAACATTGGTTTCATTCAATGATCATGAAAAATGTTAAATTCTTCTTTAAAGGAGATGAACTATCATGAAATCCTAAAGGTGCAACAACATAATATGTATAATGCAATAAAATATCAATTAAAGAATTAGCAAGAACTACTAACTCCTGTTCATATTCCAAATACGGTGTAGGTACCTGCGCGAATCTTTTTATTCACTACCGATGCTGCCCCGAATAAATCACGCCAGTGTGGGTGAGCATTGAAGCTCGTCTTTGGAACCCTTATCGTAATGGTATATAATTTAAATATTACTAATTGCACCTGAAACTGGACTGCCCTAAAAATTAAAAAAAAAAGGTTTAAAAGTGCACGTTTCTGTCAAATCGTTTTAGTGTTTCCGGCGTACTTATTGCTTGCATAATAAGGAATAAGTACACCGAACACACCAAGACGATTAGACGGAAACTCGCAATTTTATCACACTTTTTAATAGTTTCCAGTTTGGTGTGAAATTCGAACTATGCTAGCTTGGAATGTTTTCAACCTCTCTGTGCTAATCTGATAGCCCTTAACTAACTATTATCGGTACAGCTCAAAACCGGAATAACCCACTAGCGACAATCGAATTTACGACACTTTGTGTAAAGTACAAAACTAGTGTAAAATCGATTGTACCGATAATATTGTAAATGTCTTCACCGAGATTCCCACTCCCAGGGATCCATAAATAAGATACGCTAACCAGCAGTATCGCCACCACGATGTACCAGTATCGGTTATTAGTTTTACCTGTCAGCGCATTCCACCCTGGATAGCTACTGCCATAGGAGGCCAACTCGATGAAAACAGCCTCTTCCTCTTAATACTTACCTTTCCCAACTCCGGTTACTGTGCCATACAATCCTCCGCGATTTTCACGGTAGTCCTCATAGGAAAAAAAATACAGCCGTGCCAATTTTCCGGGCGCTCGATCTTGATTATCGGTCCAGAGTCTAAAAAACACAGTCGCAAAGTGAAAGCTTGAAAATTTCACTATTCAATTAATCTAGACCAACAATTTAAATAGGCGGAACAACCAAACGTAAACAATGGCTTTAAACACAAATTTATCGAGAATCAAAACACACGCACAAAAACTAACAATTCCATTCGATGAAGGAAGTTTTCTCTTTCAGATGCTGGAATAAGATAATGTGAATGTGTTTTGATTCTCGTGAAATTTGCGTTTAAAGCCATTGTTTAAGTTTGGTTGTTCCGCCTATTTCAATTGTTGGTCTAGAAATGCTCGTTTGTTTACACTCTACGATCGGAGCGCGAAGTTTGACACTTGATGCTCTAGCAGAGTGTAAGCGAACAAGCATACAATTTTTATGCTTGTTCGCTTACTCTGCTAGAACCCGAGCATCAAGTGTCAAACTTCGTGCTCGGATGGCAGAGTGTAAATAAACGAGCATAAATTCCTCCACCACAGAGATGGTCTAACGACGTCTAACCAGCCATACTAAAAAACGTCTAAAACGCTGTCCAGACTGGAGAGTTATAACATGTTATAACGGTTGTCAAATAATTGCAACATAGAAACCACCATCAAGATAGCGCTATAACATGTTATAACTCTGTAGTCTGAACGTACTATAACGTTAGTCTCACGTTAGACTAACATGTTAGACCGAAAAGAGTTGTAACGTCTAACAGAATGTGTCATATCAGTCTAATATTAGACGAACATTAGACTAACGTTAGACCAAATGTTAGTCTAATGGTCTAACGTGTTAGACTAACGTTAGACTCATGTTAGACTAACCTTCCGTGCTGGGGAGGTACAGAGGTACAGGTAATCCAGCTCATTGGGTTACGATTACTAAACGCTCACGGAGAAAAAATACTACCCATAATTTGAGTTCTTTTTACTAAATTTTGATTTGAGCCTCTTAAGTTGTTAAGTTACGTTTGAGTATATTGCATATTATCAAATTTACGTGTGTGATAACTTAGGTAGCTCAGAGGTCGCGGGAAGACTAATCCTGTGTGACGAGCCACCATCGATCCCATCTCCCATGTGATAGTGTTAGTGACAGGTATAGCCATTGACTATATACTACTATAGAGACAAAGGGGGTTTGTCCCAGTTGATATAATAGTGTGGTATACAGTAAAGGCCCAAACACAATAAGGACGGAAGCGGAACGGAAACGGAAAGTTTGACAATCCGACAAGTAGGCTTACTCAGATCGGGCTTTTCCGCTGCCGCTGCCGTTCCGCTTCCGCTGTCATTGCGTTTGGGCCTTAAGTGTCGTCTACCACATCCCCTCTTTTTACTAAATTTAATTTATTTTGGTTTATGTCAATGATTTAAAGATACAAATTCACGTATAAAAATGTATACTTATCTTGTTGGACTGTAGCGGCTTCTGGGCTTGATAACACGCTGCGGTCGGCGAATAGTAGACTCGTCTTCTCCATAGGCAGAAGAACTGGAAGGTTCCGCTTCTGGTTGACTTCCGGTTCCGGATGATTCGTCGATATTATCATCAGATGGCAGGGACAGCCTCTTTAAATGAGATACGTTGCGGTCATACTTTTTCCCTGTATCGTTGGATTGCACGGTTACGTTTGATCCAATTCTGCTCAACACAGTGAACTTCTCTTTCAAGAAGTTAGTTGCCAGTTTGTTCGACGGGAGCAGATTTTTCATAAGAACAACATCCCCCACTGAGATGTCACTTGGCTTTGCTCTACGCCTGGTATCTTCCCGCTCTTTCTGTAGCATCTTTTTCTCGAAATCCCGATCTCGAAAATCAGAGCTAGGAGGTGTTGTTTCAAAGTCTTCAATTTGGGGAAGCTTAGATCGCAATTTCCTCCCCTGAAGTAGTTCACTAGGTGCTTTCCCAGTTATAGTATGTGGAGTGTTATTGTAGAGCTCCAAAAAACTATCGAGTTCCACTTTCCAGTCATCGTAAAGTGCATGAGCAATTTTCATCCTTTTAAGGAGTGAGCGATTCTGTCTTTGGACTTCGCCATTGGCTTGTGGCCAGTAAGGCGATGTATGGTTAAGATGTACTCCAATGTTCCTAGAAAAGTCTTCAAATTCCGTTGACACGAACTGTTTTGCGTTGTCTAGAGTTATTGTTCTAGGAGGGCCCCATGTCCTAAAAATTCGTTTCAACCGCTTAATAGTTTCTTGTGCTGTAATTCGTTGCATGACCTCGATTTCCATGTAACGGCTAAAATAATCGACGATTACTAAAAGGTATTCCCCCGTTGGCATAGGTCCAAGAAAATCAATTGCAACATCGACCCAAGGTTTCTCCGGAAGAATACGACGCATCATGGGCTCAGGAGGATTCGATGTTTGTACCAGTTGACACCCTTCACACGTTTCACATGTCTTTATGGCATCTTTATCAATTACTGGCCACCAGCATCTTTCCCGTAGTCTTCTTTTCATCATCGACTGACCCGGGTGTCCCTCGTGAGCTAGCTGACACATTCGAGAACGCAAGCCTTTGGGTATTACGAGTTTTGTTCCACGCATCACTAGGTTGTTTACATAGGAAAACTCCAGGCGAAACGGCATATACTCTTTCAAATCCCCCTGATTCCAGCTATCATTTGTGATGAATTCTATGAGCTTTTGTAGTTCTGGGTCTGATGCTGTGGCTGTGATGACTTCTGCAATATCAATTGCGGCTGATTCCTGAACTGCTCTAATTATGCACTCCGTTCCCGAGTCATATTCCTCACGGTCTTCGGGAAAAGAAAGAAATGATAGTGATTCAGCTACAACGCGTCTAATAAAGACTTCTGAATCCTCATGCCACTCACGATCTTCTACATGGGCTGCTAGTCTCGACAAACAATCCGCTAGGTTCGCCGATCCCTTACGGTAAACCACCTTGAACTTAAAAGCTTGTATTCTCAACAACCAGCGTTCGATTCTTGCAGTAGGCCTAGATGAAATTGAAAACAATGTTTCCAGGGGGCGGTGATCTGTCTCGAGCTCAAAGGTTATACCCAACAAATAAATTTTAAAGCGCTCTACGGCCCAAACAATGCCCAGTGCTTCTTTCTCGATAGGAGGGTACGTTTTCTCGATATCCGTCAGGCTCTTAGAAGCATAGCTGATAATCCAAGGCTTATTGTCATTGAATTGTATTAGAACGGCTCCCAATCCTACACCTGACGCATCAGTAACGACCAAAGTTCGATCTTTGGGATCATAGTATCCCAAGCTTCCCGCTGACCCAACCAGAGCTTTTATTTTGTCGAATGACTGCTGATGTTCAGAGAGCCATTCAAATGTCACGTCGTTTTTCAATAACTGCCTTAAAGGATCATTTACTGTTGTCAAACTAGGAATGAACCTGCACAAAAAAAATATTCAATGTGTTATGTCTGTTTGTCAGTGATATAAATCAATGGATGTAATTTTGTTCGCAAAATCGATGTACATCGTAGAGTCGTTGTATAATGAGTCACGCCAAGAGTGAAGCCAAGTCTACCTATTGAGCTGTCAAACTGGCTACCTATCGTGCAGAGTAAACAAACATTACGATGCTATGAAAGGTCCACGAAAGTTATTGCAATAAAATATAAAATATAATCGAAGAAATGATCATAAACTCGCAGTGAGCAATAAATTGTCATGGGATACGTTTGGTAATGATCACTTATGAGAATTTCTACTATTTTTGGTTGAGATAATTTGACTAAATCACTGATATAATGATTTACTACAGCCGCTATTTTTTTTCTCACTAGAAGTCATTTGAAGTTGATGTAGAAGTCCTCTGTGGTCAAGTGAAAAGAAAGGGAATCTTTCGAAAACCGTAATGCGAGTTCAACTGTTTTTCTCTTGGCGTGACTCATTATACACCAACTCTAGTACATCGTACAACGTTATATTACACAACCGATGGATTGACCTGGTTGCAGCAGTTTGGATGTAATATTCAACAACTTTTTTTTTCTGTGTAGTTACAAAACAAGCGATATATTGTACCGGGTTAGTGACCGGTCTCGCGAAATGGTGAAGCAACACTGGTCGGTCAATCTCCCTCGTTGTAGATCGTCGCCTCATCTAGTAGGTAGCCATCGATCGGTGCTCATATCTCCCGCTCTGTATGCAAATGCCCCTAGGAATGAGTTTCTCGAGAATATCCCCACGCGAATGTATTGCGATCAACGGTTAAGCTGTGGTTGATTCTCCCACTCGGTAGTAGAAATGTGTGTAGTTGGTACAATCAAACTGATAACGAACTGAACCAAGTGTTGCGTCGATCATGCAGTGGTATTCTGAAGCAATTTTCATCTCGCATGCAAACATCCTGCCACCCTTAAAAATAACGATTTCTGTAGACTGCTGCTAATATTTCTGTCACGGCTGATGATGCTCCTGGTTGACCTGGAGATGTTGAGTCCCTCAATTGAATTGGTGCGATGGTACATGGAAAGAAAAGACCCAGTAGATCCGGAGGAAACAACTAAATAACTTCCCAACTAACAATTTTCATAATGTAAACGCTTTACTCATTTCATTTATACAGTCTCAAGCTGTATTCAAACGTTATACGATATGAGGAAACCTTTACTCAACCTCTATACAAGCAAATCTGGCGAACTTAGTCAGCTACTTATGGCTGTTGGAACGGTCAGGAGAAGCTCTTATCGCATATCCATTAACGCTTCTATACAACTGTTATCCTGCTGTTTAGTTGTGTGTGAACTTGAAAGGCGCTTATTCAACTTTTTCCCGGTTATCCAATAATCACTACACAGCTTTCTCTTGAGACCGAGTTAAATACTGTTTACGCTTTTTTAAAAAGGAATTTATTGAGTTTATTTTGCTGTGAATCAAATTAATCGAAATTAGTTACAAATCATCACCAAATTATTTACCCTGCACCGGAACCTAGAATCGAACTCCAGATGACCTCATTGGCAAACGTTGACACTACCAACTGTGCTACACCAACAGTATGATCTTATGTAAACAAATCAACATTCCCTTCTACAACAAAATCGCTGAGTAGAGGCACATGAATCAATTTTCTCGACTAGTTATAAAAGAGCAGAGTAAAAGCTGTAAAACTGCACGCGTCTAAAAATAAACCTAGTTGACTGTGAAAATGCTTCCGAATTTGCTCTAACACAGTTTATAAGCTGAGTACAGGTTGTTTAGTTGTTGAAAAAGCACTTTTGATGTTTATGTTATTCAGCAAGAGTGGTTGGTTGTGTAGAAGCCATCAAATGAGTAATATCAGTGCTAACATTTGATAACGGCGCAAAAGCCCTTTACTCGCTACCCGAAGAACGCCCACGCAAACCAACAGCATCGTCAGGAAGGGGAAAATTTCCCCTACCCGATGTTGCTGTTGTGTCGCGTGGGTGTACTTCAAGTAGTGAGTAAAGGGCCCACAAACCATTTGTTTACAAATGGCTTTTGTGCCGTTTTCAAATGTTAGCACTGATATATTCACTTTGTTAGCTTTGTTTTGCAGCTACAAGTTGAAAGTTGGGTAGAGTGTGTATAGAAGTGACATTAGCGTTTATTGGCTGAAGTTATTCAGTGCGACTGACAAATTGAATAATGGTTGTGAAAAAGTTGAGTAAACGCTCTCCAAAACTATTTTGCTAGCTTTTGCTTGTAGCTGTATCTGCAGCTTCTTTTCAGCTACTTTACAGCACAATGCTGGAAAAGTTGGCTTACAAAGCTGAAAATGTTAGTTGAGTTGGACAGGTCCTCACCTGGGACCCAAGGATATTGGGCCTTGTATTTATTTATCCTCTCCGGAAGATCAGGTCCCAACATTCGTGATCCTGACAGCCGCACTACCGTTAGGGTTGGTGTCGTCATGGGACGAAGATGATACCGATAAAAAGCATAGTTTTGCGACCGGTCGAGTGATGAATCCCCGTGCTGTCTGAAGTGTAACGACCCGGACAATGCCGTCCTTGCCGAGGTGAAGTTCATGGATCCTGCCTGTTGCTCATCGTATTGGTGGCAGATTCTCTTCCTTAATAATGACAAGACGATTTTTTTCTATTTGTACCGGTGGGTTGCATCACAACGTTCAGGAACGTTGCCAAGTATTCCAGGTGCAATCGATTCCAAATTTCCTGAAATATTTTCTGAATCTGCTGCCATTGTGTCAACCGATTGTATGCGAGCGGCTGTCAACTTGAGTATTTTCGATTCATCTACCCGACTTGAAGAGGTGCACACTTAGATTTTTTGCCGAGATGGGCACCACCGAGCAGCTCGGCATTTTATTTTGCTGGAAATTCAGCAAAAAATATGTTTGTTAGCTGAGATCTCGGCAAAATTCCCGTTTGTTAGCTGAATATCGGCAAGTTTTTCACTGAGATCCAGTAAAATAAAATGCCGAGCTGCTCGGTGGTGCCCATCTCGGCGAAAAAATCTAAGTGTGTGTATTTTGTATTTTTTCGTGTTAATGTATTTTTAAGTTTTGTGTATTTTTATATTAAAGTGTATTAAATTCATTGTGAAATGTATTTTTCGTGAACAAAGTATTTTCGAAGTATTTTAGTTTCAGCGTGTACGCATTTACGTATTTTTTTGTGTATTTTCCGAAGTGTGTATTTAAAATTCAGTTGATTTATGAAGTTGATCGCCCCTCGGGTCAGACACACGATCGAGATAAGCAGCTTTGGTTACGAGACATACGTAGACCACGATGTACGCCTTCAAGAACGGACTGCGCTTGTTTCTTAACTTTCTTAACGAAGTGCGCACGTAGATTGGGCCGGCAAGGTCTATGCCGACATTCTGAAATGGGTACGCCTGGTTGACCCGCACAGGAGGAAGTTGTCCCATCAGCTGCTCGAGTGATTTCGGTTTGGCTCGCACGCACGTCACGCATCGATGCACGATCTGGCGAACTAAATTACGACCACCAAGAGGCCAAAACCGTTGTCGAATGAACGATAGCAGTAATCCCGGTCCTGCGTGGAGCGTCTTCAGGTGTTCCTTCGTTGCAATTATTTTGGTCAGTTGGTGCTTGGCTGGGAGAACGATCGGGTACTTCTACTCAATCTCCAACACGAATTATACCGTCCACGAGCTGTGGATGAAGATAGCGGAGCTTGGAATTCCGGTCCACTTGACCAATAGTGAATTTTCTTCAAGTTCGTTGAGGTTCATGCCCCGAGATATGAGATCCGCTAGATTGTCTTTGGACGGAACATGGTTCCAGAAAGCATGAGTGGTGAGCTTCTGAATCTCAGCCACACGATTGGCCACAAACGTCTTCCACATAGGTGTTGCAGAGAGCCAATTCAACACGATGGTCGAATCAGTCCACAAGTAGATCGTGGCGGAAATATCAACACTGTCCATAGCTTTTACCAGTAGTTTAGTCAGAAGTTGAGCAGCACATAACTCGAGTCGAATAATGCTTTTGGTGTCTATCGGAGTAACCTAGGATTGTGACATCAAGCGTCGAGCTGTGCAGCATCCAGCAGAAGTGATTGACCGAAGATAGGAATGTATAAGGCTGATGTTTTGGCAAAAATGTATAAGTGAAACACATGAATAAAATAATTGACCACTTTGTCAAGCAGTTTTGGCGTGACTTTCTACCAGCGATTTCACAAAAGTGGACCAACTAATTTCTATTTTTTTATGTAACGCACAAATGTTGGAAATTTTTCTCGTGGTCCTAGAAGAAAAAATCTCAAAATAATGTTTTATTTCCAAGTTCGAGTGGTAGTAAACGTCATTTTAACTGCTCGAATGAAGTGGTTAATTGATTTTCGTTTCGTGTACCCTCTAGTATGTCCATCGTTGCACTGTCCAGCTTGGACCGTAGTTCCTCCATTTTCCTGTTGTACTTCACTGACATATATACAAATGGCGTGCGTTAACAAGGCAGGATACAGCAAAGTTTGAAGTTTTTTTTACCCATTAATGAGTATAAAAATACACATAGTTTGACTGCACAGCAGAAATGTAATATCGATCAACGTAATTCAAGCTAATGTATAAAATAATAATGTAAAAGCAAAAAGCAGATGCAATATTACATCAATGGATGTAATTTTGTTCGCAAAATCGATGTACATCACACAACGTAATATTACACAAGCAGCGGGATGACCCCTCATCATCCCTCTCCAAAGGGGGAGTTTGGTAAAGAGAGATGATAAAACCGATGTGTACCTTTCTTAAAAAATTGTCCTAGCTCGCTATCTACTTTCTATATGCAATTTTCACACTGCCGTAATCTAAACGGAACTATCAATTCTATACTTTCATCTCCTCCTCATCTATCGTATAAAAACTACCACTTCAGTCTGTTATTCGAAATAGCATCTTCAACTACTTATTTATGTGTTTACGCTGGTTACCATGTAAGCGGTTTACTGAAAATTTAGTACCAACATTTCAAATGGCTAAACTGACAAATTTAAACAAACTGAGTTTTTATTTATAGAAATGGACAGCAAGTGATGCAATACTATAAACAATTTCATAAAATTACACAAAAAAACATGTTTTGTCACCCTTAACATTTACAAAAAGGCGTAGCTAACTTGTGTAGTTTAGTATAGTGAAGTTAATTTTCATTTAACTGCATGCAGGTTTGAATTGTGGCCTAATTTTTTATGGTTTTCATGCGAATATTGCAGTATTTTTTATGTATAACATAGTCTCGTAGCCATAGCGTTTACAACGGTGAACAAAAATCTCCCAGTTTATTCCACCTACGTATTTCTAGTTGTAGTTGCTAAAATGCATTATTCTCAAATGAATATTACAAGATTTCACACAACTCAAATTACCTTAAGATTGGAAACCCAAGAACCCGATTCGGTTATGTTGTTTTCGTGGTTCCAAATTAAAGATCATGAATCGTGTCTATGAATCGTCGCAAACACGAAACCAGCTTCTAGGTCAATTCGCTGCTATCGACGTACAATAGGCCCAGCTGATTTCTGATGGATGAAACAAACATAAAACCAACGCAATCAGCATCATTCGTTGATCCTTTGTATGGCACCACTTAGAAGCAATTTCTTACTGAAAAGTACCCGCACACAAGTGGCCTCCGTTTGATCTAGCATGTTCAGTTTCTATGGTTTCTATGATTTTTGCGCGTTCATTACCGCTGGGAAATAAAATTAAAACTTTGACAATTCCATCAGAGATGATGGTGGTGTTTCCTTTTTTGTTTGTTTTCAGAACCATTCAAATTTTGAATTAAATTAAATTAAAGACAACGAAATAAATCCTTCTTCTTCTTTCCTTCATTTAACGTCGGTCTCTGTTCTGCAATCTAGTGCCAATCACCGACGGACATTGATTGCCATCCATTGACGGCAATCGAATGTGCAGGAAGGCAGCTTCCACACCTGCGTAGGATATCGCACCCATTTAAAACACATACCGGGCCGGGACCAACGGCTTTACTTCCCTTCCGAAGGAAGACGTGACTAGAGATTTTTATGCCTCAGAAAAATCCCACCGACCTCGGCTGGGATTGAACCCAGACCCATCGGGGTGTTAGAAAGCAGTCACACTTACCACTACACCACCGGCACCGGCCGAAAGAAATCCAACACTGATAAAATTTTAAATATTGTTTTTATGTGTCACACACATGAATTTTTGCAATGTGATCAACAAATGATATCTATGTGTCGGACACATACACATAGCCATGTGTAACCACACATACTATTCATTTGACTCATAAATTTCAACATGAAAATCATGTGAAATTTCACATGGAAATTCGTCAATAAAAATGTGTGGAATTTTATTAGTGAAGATATAAAATTTATGTAAAAGGGCGCAATTGAAAAGCGAAAGGGCGTAATCAAAATTGATGAATATAAAGGTTAAAATCTAATTTTGATGATTTTTAACATTAAAAACACAACATAAAAATCTAAACTTCTATGAACTGATTAACAAGGGTCAACTCAAGCTGAACGGTGCAAATAATAGACCTGCACTGCTTACTGATTTTAAAATGAATCCATTTTTCTGTTTCGAAAACTTTAACAGCGTTTTTCACAGCTTGACATCATTGTTAGTTTCGCCCTTTTGAAATTTTGATGCCGAATTAGCTTATAAGGCTGTCCACGAGACAGTTCTGGATCAACAATAGAAAAGGGCCCATCAGCATTTGTAAACAATCCGTTCCAAGGCCCTTTACTCACAAATCGAAGGCCACCCACACAAACCAGCACCATCATCGTGTAGGTAGAAGTTTTCCCTATCCGATGATGGTGTTGGTTTACGTGGGTGGCCTTCGCTTTGTGAGTAAAGGGCTTTGGAACGGTTTGTTTACAAATGCTGATGGGCCCTTTTCTATTGTTGATCCAGAGTTGCGATCAGCTGACTTTTTTGTTTACCAAGAACTTTTGACAGATCACAGTAGAACTGGCAGTTTATTCTCATATGAATTAGGTTTTGCACCGTCGGGGTTAACCTCAATCTGATGACAGTTCAGTGGTACTGTTTACGTGGACTTAGTCGTTTTTTTTCTTGGGTAGATTTTCTCGATAATTTTTCAGACTGCAGTGAGATGTAAACCACACTTCTGCATTGTCCACGAGCAACATCCTTTCACTGCACTGTTCCTCGACAATTTTCAAGTTAAAATTCGGAAATTTTAGAATTTGTTTTTTCGAAAAAACGACTAAGTGCTTGTAAACAGTACCACTGAACTGTCAAAAAGGTTCAGCCTATTAACACTGAGTTCATTTGTGACGTCACGCTGCAGAACCTAATTGCTGCTTTATTATGTTTACATTAAGCACCATTAACACCAGATCACTCACACACTCTTGATTTCTAGCTGTCAGTTCCACTGAGAAACGTCCCTTGGATCACTTTATTGAACGGAACATGGGAGATGAGTGAACACGGCAACCAGCATAAACACATAAATGAGTAAAAAAATACACGTTTTTTTTTTATTTATATGCAGCTGTCAAAAAATGAGTAAATTTGGAGATCTTATAATGTGTAAAAAAAATACACATTTTAAGAATGTAGTACCAGTGAAAAAATTTGTATTTTTATATTCATTAATAGGTTAAAAAAACTTCAAACTTTGCTGTATTCTGCCTTGTTAACGCACGTACTTTGTATATATTTCAGTGAAGTACAACAGGAAGATGAAGGAACTACGGTCCAAGCTGGACAGTGCAACGATGAACATACTAGAGGGTAGGTGATTTATGCTATTTTCATAGTTAAGTTTTAGAAAAAAAAATCATAATCAATGTCCGGTGTCTCACTTGCTTGCTTCATACTGCTTTTTGTTTTTTCCTTGATTTGGGCTGAGTGCTGAGCACCAATGCTACTGACGCTAGGAAGGCAGCTCCCACACCTGGATCCTACCTATCGATCCATCAAGTCATGAATCGGGGACCAATGGCTTTACTTCCAGAAATGTTATGCCTCAGAACATCCCAGCGGTGCCAACTGCGATTGAAATCAGGCCTGCTGGGGAAAAAGGTAATCAGGCTTATCACTACACCACCGGCGCCGCTACTGATTTTTTTGATGACATTCCTTCTTTTTTTTAATAAAATGTTATTGTATTCGAGCAATCTTTATTTTATCATTGACGTCATTGAGCATGAGCATGAGCATGATTGACCGCCGTCATTATTGTATTTAAAATAAATAAATTCATTCTTACCTTTTTATGGTTGTTTGATTATTAATTGCTATTATTAGCTGCTTAGAGTTGGCTCCTTTAAAATACTGTGTAGAATTTACCTCATTATTCCTGAGCTCCATCGATTTCCGTTCCTACGTGGTTTTTGTGATATAACCACGCTCGGCATATTATCCTGTAGTACGACTTGGGCGTGCACCATACAAGTAACTCATCTCTCGTCAAGATGATGGGATATGGGGTGATGTTGAAGGGATATAGAAAACGAATAAAAGAACAGAGAAAAGGTATTAGTATTGGTTACATTTACCCCCCTCCCCCCCCCCAACACACACACACACACACACACACACACACACACACACACACACACACACACACACACACACACACACACACACAACGAAAAAGAAACAGAGATGCACAGACAAACAGAAATAACACATTTAATATTTCTCTCCACAAAACATAGTCACTAAAACACTACCGCCATCTGTTGAGTATCATGTGATGGATAGTACGCTGAACAGATGGCGCTGGTGCGCAGACGTCAAACGCAAGGGAACCGACCGTGCGCGCCACAGGTGGCGGCACCACCAACCAAAACCACTCAAATTGAGCGTCAAATGCGTGTTCGATGAACAAAATGCGAGAGTTATGTCTGTTTGTCTGTGATAATTGGGTTATTAGGAAAGTACAACTACATTATAACTATTAGTGCAATGGCTGAACGTTAGTTTCGGGGTCATGTTAGTGTTATAGTTTTGTTAGTATTGACCCTTATTCAGCCCTGTCGGCCCCTCGAACACTAGTCGCAGGCACACGGATACGAATTTTGTTCATTTAAAACAAAATTATAAATGTTTATACTCTAAACATATGAATTATTCAAAGTGAATTGAAACCATGTTTAAAACTAAAATATTTATGTTTGAATTAAATTCAAAAGCATGTTTATTTCAACAATATAGAATTTGGGTAAACGGTTTTTAGCGTGTCATGCCTTAAACATACATAAACGGATCCTCCTCCGATATCGAACATGGAAAGAAACCGGTATGAGGACCAGTGGCAGAAACCGAGGCAGAAACGGTAAAACGACGCTAATAACACAAATTTTCACCGGTTCCACTGAACTGGAATCCCCGGACACCCACCCCGACGGGTCCTCGCATGCCGGA